GTGCTTTCAGAAGACGAGGAGGCTGTTGTTGTGGGGTGAGCGGGAGGAAATGCTGACCACCAGTTCGCTGCTGCGAATGAACTGCTATGAGGCTGCTGGGACAGCGGGTCTATGGCAACAGCAGAGCCAGCTGATGAACTCAGCAAGTGTTCAAGCGGTGTAAAAATCTGTTGTTGGGGTTGCTGAGGGAGGGTGCTGACTGGAAGGGGAAAAGGCTGTACAGGGACCAATGAAAATGACGGGGTTCCACTTTGGCTCTGCACGAGCTGCAGCTGGGCGCCAGGCGCCAGCCGTACCATCCCCTGCTGTGGCAAGGTTACGTGTGGTTGCTGCACTGGCTGTGGAGGTGGGGGGCGCGCCATCAGGTCGGGACTTGTAGCTTCCAATTCTAAGCACAGTTCAACAATTGCAGCAACGTCCGGATCGTCATCTTGATCTGAATGAACGCCATCCCCAGCCAGGCGTCTCCTTGTACTGCGTTCTTCTACCCGAGAGGCAGACAAATACTTGTAACACCTTGAAAAAAGAAGAAGAAGTGCAAAAGCAGCAAAGAACACAATCGGCTTGAGGCGATCATGCGCCGAGGCAGTACGTGAGGTCGACCGTCCCAGTAGCGCCGAGGCCGCTGCATATTCAGCCTTTCGTTCCCCTTCATTTTGCCGGCTGTGCTCATAAAAGGAATTATGATTCAACACGGGAGGTGTAGAATCGAAAGAAGAATCTCTCTGCGTCACGATCGTGGTGGGCATCGCCGCGAAGTGTCTGGTGCCAGGGAAAATACACTGGCCCCAGCCGATCTGGAGGGCTATTCTTCTCAATAAGCCGGCGGCTAAAAGAATTTAGAATTCTGTTTATGTCGGGTAAACAAATATTCTGCAAGAGCATCAAATTCTAATATTGCTTTCAACGGTCGGAAGTATACACTGAGAGCATGCTGTGAGCGGCGACGCCCAGCACGGCTGCTACATACTTCCGCATATATATCCACTAAAGAGACTGAAACCTACGTTAAAAGGCATAACGCCAACATGAAAAAATCGGATCCGTAAAAGGAAAGAACTGATGGCGTGGTCTCCCCCCCTGCGAATGGCCAGGGTTGCATCGTCGACACGACCAGCCCCCGTGGGCGCAGCTTCAGGGCACCCCATGCTTGGTTCGTNGCCAGGGTTGCATCGTCGACACGACCAGCCCCCGTGGGCGCAGCTTCAGGGCACCCCATGCTTGGTTCGTTGTAAGGCAACATTTCCCTATTTAGTTTCCTTCAAATTTCACCTTCTAACTTCACCTTAACTGCATCTATTCCGCATTGTATGGCCGGTGAAGGCCATTTCTGCGAGGCATTGTAGTGCTGCTGCCTGCGGGTCTCTTCCGGTTCGCACACTGGATCGCTGTCACTGTAATTAGTCTCTTCGGCTGTGCATAATTATATATATCAATACATGGAAAAATGCATCCATACAATAATATATACATATATGCCTCTGCAGACCAGCAAATGCAGCACTTAGCGTCTCCGACGCGTAGACTCAAGGACAAAATGAAGTACAACGGCTAAGCACAACAATTGAAGGACACACCAGCTTATTCTTTCGAACGAATTGCCGCATATTCCTTAAATATAACATGCTGTAATTCACTCGAAAGAATAAGCGAACAAGAAACGTTGCGGGGGCAACTATATTGCTGGGGCGAGTTCGGCTAACCCAGTGCAGTTATATATATATAATTAATCCTGCTGCACATTATTGTTATATATATGTCTACATTGTTGTATACCTATATTCCTATGTATAAACTGAAATATACGTATGACTGCTTGCACGTAAATGAAAACTATACGTGTGGTTGTATATATAGTTACTTCAGTATTATTATACAATTGTATGTGCAGATGTTGCAAATACTGCTGCATTGCTNTGTATATATAGTTACTTCAGTATTATTATACAATTGTATGTGCAGATGTTGCAAATACTGCTGCATTGCTTATCATTACTTAAGTAGCAACATATATACAATTCTACTTGCTGTACTTCAGAGATTCTTTTGTCTTCCTGCCCCCAACAGCATAGAGAAATACAACACTGAAATTTGAACAAATCAAAATATTGAAAGGCCTCCTGACATTGCAGGACTTTGGCTGCACGGAGGCTGCAAAAGGCAGGGAATTGCTCACCAGCAGCAACTCAGAAGCCAGAATACATCAAGAAACCACTACCTGATAAAGGGAGATCGCAGATATTACATATGCATTGTTATATAATGTACATTATACATTATACACTATATGTATACTACCGACAATCGATATAATATACGATGTAGATAATACACATAATATAAACAATATATATTATATACATATGGCCTACACAATGTACACAATGCATATATATAATAAGCAAATGTAGATGTATTCATGGCATCTAACAGGACTCCGCCAAAATATACAACAATAAAGTAACAGAGCCACATGATACAAGGAACGGCTCCAAAGGCAAAAAGCCCTCAATGGATGAGCGAGGGGCTACTAAGAGGAGTGCAGAATGGCGCCTTCTCTCAGCGTGAACACAAATGCAATTTCATAAAAGCCCAGTCAATGCAATTCATTCATCATTCCACGCACCACGTGAACCACAAAAACCGCTGTCATGAAAAAGAAATGATAATTCACACAAAAAAAAAATACAGCTTAACAGTTGAATGCTAATGCAGCACGTATATTGAAAGGAGAGGCACTTCATAGAGATGCATCAAACACGCGTGACGTATTGGCCCTCTCGCCCAACGGTTTTGCTGCTGTTTCTGCAGCTCCCGCTGTTGCTGCTGCTGTTGCTGTTGTTGCTGCTGTTGCCCCAGTTGCTGTTGCTGCTGCTTTTGTTCTAGCTGTTGCTGTTCCTGCAGATGCTTCTCCTGCGACAGCTGCTGCCGTTGCGGTAGCTATTCCAGCTCTTGCTGCTGAGTTTCTGCCTTATCTGCTTCTAAAAACTTTTTAAGAGTGGATGATTCGTTGAGTTCCATCACTGTGTATGTACAGCTGAAGCGTGCTTGTGGCGATCCTTTCCGTTCCGGCTTTGTTCATTTGTTTTGTCATATCACCGCCACTGCAACTTTCATTACGCGCTAGCGCGTTTTCCCCTTTCGAAACGCCACATCATCGAGTCTCCAGGGGTCATATGTACCTCTCTTGAACTCATTATTTCGGAGTTCGCATAGAAGGAATCGTTTTAACTCCACGGTTTCTTTGGCTGAAGGCCTAACGCCGCTCTTCAGCTGTTTCACCGCTTCATTCAGTCTTTTGACAAAGCGCATGTTTCTCTTGAACTTTTTTCCGCATCCTTTTTTGTATATGAAATGCGGATCTGTTGGGATTCCGTTCGCGAATTCCCGCCAGTTCTCCAGCGCCTCGGGCGAAGGACCCAAAACTAATATAGCAGAGAAGATAGCATCTAACATCAAATACCGCCGCCCCAAATAATAGGCAACCCTAACCGGACACATACCCTTCATAGGTTCGTTCTGTCGCCTGTGCATATACCGCGCTAGACGCACTGCAGCAGAACGAACGGCTTCTGCATCTTTTTGGTCGAGTTCTTGCTTGAGGAACAACTCACGCAAGGACGACAAACACGTGTGCACCAGCCGCGGCGGCTTCAGAAACTCCTCATCTATGGTCCCCAAAAAAAACGGAGGTGTCCATACACCCGGCAAGAGCGAAGGCAACCGATAAAAAGGGTGAGAATCGACCGCACCAGCTGACTCTTCTGGTGACGACTCTCCGCTCTCCTCTTCATCATCACTAGCAGTCGACGCAGAAGAAGTAGCGGATGCATCGGCAGAACCAGATGCACTCGCGGTTGCACGAGGCCTTCTTAGGAGGATGCTTAAAAGGCTATCTTCTGATGAGGCACCCGCGGGGCGGGCCCCCGCAGCGGCGTCTGCATCCTGCTGAACTGGAGGGGTATGTTGCGGTTGTGGTGCGTAGCCGCCATCCGGTTGTCGCCTAGACGGTCCAGATTCTTCCAATTCAGGAGCATACAGTGAAGAATATGATGGTGAATCTAAAGGGAGGCCGAAGGAGGAGGGAGAAAGCCACGAATCAGGAGAAAGACTGGAAGCACCCCAGGAAGGCTGTTGGCCTTCGCCCCCATCGACGCTGGGGTGTCCAGCCACCCCGCCGTGTTCTTCTGCCGACGAAACGTTCCCCTTCGTCCGCTTTGCAGGGGGAGGCGAAGAGGCTGCAGGCCGCCCCCTTTTCGAGCCTACAGATATCTCGACCTGCTGCGATGGGACTGAAGGCAACACCTGAGATGTTGCACTGCTGCTTGTCTCGAGCCCTTGCCCCATGCCCTCATAATACGAGGAGGCTGTTGTTGTGGGGTGAGCGGGAGGAAATGCTGACCACCAGTTCGCCGCTGTGAATGAACTGCTGTGAGGCTGCTGGGACAGCGGTTCAGTGACAACAGCAGAGCCAGCTGGTGGACTCAGCAAGTGTTCAAGCGGCGCAAAAATATCTTGTTGGGGTTGCTGAGGGAGGGTGCTGACTGGAAGGGGCACATGCTCTCCAGAGAACGGCGAAAATGACGGGGTTGCACTTTGGCTCTGCAGGAACTCCATCGGGAGGGCAGGCAACAGCTCTAGCATATCCTGCTGTGGCAAGGTTACGTGTGGTTGCTGCACTGGCTGCGGAGGTGGGGGGTGCGCCATCAGGTCGGGGCTTGTAGCTTCCAATTCTAAGCACAGCTCAACCATTGCAGCAACGTCAGGATCGTCGTCGAAAGGGCCATAGTAGTGACCCCCAGCCAGGCGTCTCGCTCTGCTTCCTTCTTCTAGCCGGGAGGCAGACAGATGATTCGAGCATTTTGCAATGAGAAAAATAATTGCAAACGCGACAGGAAGCAGAATTAGCTTGAGGCGATCATACGCCGAGGCTTTAGGCGGGGGCGACCGCCTGGGTGGCGACGGAGGCACAGCATATTCAGCCTGTCGCCC